CCATTCAAAATTGAGTCAAAAGGATATTAATCACCTAAACAGATCTATAACATGCAATGAATTTGAAGCAACAATAGAGTGTCCCAAAAAAGAAAAGTCCAGGACCTTTAAAGAAGATCTAATACTAACACTCCATAAACCTTTCCATGAAATATAAGGAAAAGGAACACTGCCAAACTCATTCTATGAAGTCAGTATTACACTCATCTCAAAACTGGATAAGGACAAAAGAAAAAAAAAGAGAATTACAGGCCAATCTCTTTAATGAACATTGATGCAAAGCCCTCAATAAAATAATGGCAAACTAAATTCAACAGCATATCAAAAAGATTCACATACCATGTATGACCAAGTTGGCTTTATCCTAGGAATGAAGTGATGGTTCAACATATGCAAATCAGCTTAAACAAATCAACTTATAAGAATCAGTAGCCTTTCTCTACAACAACAATGAATAGAATGAGAAAGAATATAGCAAAAAAATTCCATTTACTATAGCCTCAAAAAAAATAAAATACTTTAACAAAGGATGTGAATGACCTCTACAAGGAAAACTACAAGGCACTGAGGAAAAAAATAGAAGACAACAGAAGATGGAAATATCTCCCATGCTCATGGATTGGTAGAATCAACATAGTAAAAATGACTATACTACTAAAAGCAATCTACATGTTCAACACTATTCCAACAAAATCCCAAGGTTATTCATCACAGAGATTGAAAAATGCACCCTAAATTTCATTTGGAAGCACAAAAGACTACAAATAGCCAAGGCAATACTGACCAAAAAGAGCCATAGCAAGAAAACAACACGGTACTGGCACAAAAACAGATATGAAGACAAGTGGAACAGAACTGAAGACCAGTGAAACAGAATAGAAGACCCAGATATGAGATCCCATGCAGCTATGCCAACATACTTTTTAACAAATGTGACAAAAACATACTAGGGAGAAATGACAGCCTCTTCAACAAATGTTGCTGGGAAAACTGGATATTTGCCTGCAGAAAACTGAAACTAGATCCATGTTTGTCACCAGGTACAAGTATCAACTCAAAGTATATTAAGGACCTTAATATCAGGCCCAGAACCTTGAAGCTAGTACTGGAAAGAGCAGGGAATACACTGGAAGCAATAGGTATAGGCAAGGACTTCCTCAGTAGAACTCAGTTGGTGCAGCAATTAAGAGAAAGGATGGACAAATGGGACTACATGAAATTATAAAGCTTCTGCACAACAAAAGAAATGGTCTCTAAATTGAAGAGACCACCCACAGAATGGGAGAAAATCTTTGCTAGATCTGACAAGGGATTAATAACCATAATATATAAGGAGCTCAAAAAACTAAACTCCCCAAAAATCAATGACCACATGAAGAAATGGGCAAATCAACTGAACAGAGCCTCTTTAAAGGCAGAAGTCCAAATGATTAAAAAGCACAAGGAAAAATGCTCACCATTTCTAGCCATAAAGGAAATGCAAATCAAAACCACACTAAGATTCCACCTCACCCCTGTTAGAATAGCTATCATCAAGAACACATACAACAAATGTTGGTGAGGATGCATGGAAAAAGGAGCCTTCATACACTGCTGGTGGGAATGTGAGCTAGTACAACCACTATGAAAACAATATGGAGGCTTCTTAAAATACTAAAAATAGACCTGTCATGTGATCCAGTAATCCCACTCCTAGGAATACACCTGAAGGAATGTGAGTCAGATTACAACAAAGGCACCTGCACACCCATGTTTATTACAGCACTATTTACAATAGCTAAGCTATGAAAATAGCCTAGATGCTCCACTACTGATTGAATGGATTAAGACGATGTGGTATTTATACACAACGGAATTTTACTCAGCCACAAAGAAGAATGAAATTCTATCATTCGCATGTAAATGAATGGAGCTGTAGAACATCATTTTAAGTGAAGTTAGCCAGGCTCATAAGGCCAAAGGCCACATGTTCTCTCTGGTATGTGTAACATAGACCTAATACAAACACAGCAATATTATGAAACACTAGTCACACTAAAGGGAGGTCACATATGGGAGGGGTAGGGTAAAAAAGAAAACTTAGAACTGGAATATGGTTGATATACTCTCTATACAAGAATGAATATAGAAATCTTAAACTAGCTAAAACCACCATAAGAACGTGACTAAAGCAGAATGAAGAAAATTAGAGGTAATAAACCAATTGGGGTTATAATACATATATACAAGGAAATACCACAAGGAAACTCCCTGTGTAACTACCTTTATCTCAGACAAGCAAAAATGTCATGTTTTTCTTTTTATCTTTTCTCTTTTTTTCTTCTACAAAATTGGAGAACAGGATGGCAAAACAGGTCTTGCCCAGGTGGGGGGGGGTGGTTAGTACCAGTGGGGGAGGAGGTGGTGGGGAAAGGGGTAGGTAAAATGTATATGCATGTATGTAAATGCAAAAATGATATCTGCTGAAACTATTCTAGGAATTGGGGGAGTAGGGGATAAAGGAGAGTGGTGGAGGGGTGAATTCAAGTATGATATAGTTGATACATTGTAAGAACCTTTGTAGATGCCATAATGTACCCCCATCCAGCACAACAATAAAGGAAAAAAGATAATTAGTATCAAAATGGGGGGGGGAGGAATGGTGTTCCTGGTTTGGTTTTACACAATAGTAAGTCTTGTACATTCATAGTGTTTACTTACTATCTCCTTCTACCCTAGAGATCTTCAGAAAATATCAGTCATCTGTAATAGCTTGTTATTAAGGGTATGATTATACCCAAAATATATTTATGATTTATAATGAATGTTTTCTGAAAAGGCCATTATTGTAAATTTCTACCTTTTGTAGTAGGGACACTTAGACTATATGCATAGATTACATATATCACGAATGCCAGAATGTGGGAAGTACATGTTGTAAGGGTGTATGTGAACTGTATCCAAAAGTCAGAAACTATAGTTCTTTTCATTTTTTGTACAAATTTTAGGATGTGCTCATCAATTTCTAAAAAAATTACTATAATGATTCTGATAGAGATTGCATTGAAAATGATAATAAAATATTGATCAGTTTGAGAAGAATTGATATTTAAGATATTGTCTTCCAATCACCTCTTTATTATTCTAGTAGTTTTATTGTGAATTTGAAATTTTCACATAGATGATTGTGTGCTGTCTGCTAATAAACAATATTTTATTTCTTCCTTTCCAACTGGATCGATCTACGCACATGTCTATTTTATCCATTCTTTATCTGTTAATGTAGTATTTAGGAACTCTAGTTATAAAGTTGAATAGATGTTATAAGAATAAACATCTTTGTTGTAGACTTTTTATTTTTCTTAGGAAGTTACATTATATTTCTTGTTCATTGAGAGTTTTTATTGTGGATGGCTAGTAGATTTGGCTTATTTCTTGTTCTGCCTGTGCTGATTCAACTAATATGAGACATTGGATCATTTGACTTGTGCATATGTGAAATCAACCTTGTATTTATGGGATAAATCATATTCATGTTTCACAATTCTTTTTATTCATTTTTGGATTTGTTTGCTAATATTTTGTTAAGGATATTTGCACTTATGTTCATAAGGGATAGTGGTCTGTAGTTTTCTTTACTTGCTATTTCTTTTCATTGCCTCCTAGTTTTGCTATAAATGAAAAACTGAAATCAGAAAATTTCACATGCAGTGATCTCTCCTCTTCTATTTTCTGAAAGAGTTCCATAAGAATTAATGTCATTTCTCTTTAAAATATTTTATAACTAGCCAAGCTATGGAAACAACCCAGTTGCCCTACAAGTGATGAATGGATTAAGAAAATGTGACATATCTGCACAATGGAGTTTTATTCAGCCATAGGAAGAATGAAACAGTGTGTTTTGAAAGTAAATGGGTGCAATTGGAGGACATCATGTTAAGTGAAGTAAGCCAGGCTCAGAAAGAAAAAGCACACGTTTTCTGTCATGTGTGGAAGGCAAACACAATACAAATACAAGCAACATAAAAAAAACAGGGTGTGCTAAGAGGAGGTCACCAATGGGAGAAAGAGGGTAAAAGGAGGAAGTTAAAAAGGTGAATATGGGTGATGTACTTTGTGTACAATATTGAATATAGAATTTTTAAATTTGTTAAAATCACTGTAAGAAGGGGACTGAGGTAGAAAGGAGAAAAATAGAAAGGATGAACTAATTTGGGGTATAAAATGTATAAACATGGAAATGTCACAAGGAATCTCCCTGTAGAGCTATCATAAACAAACAAAAACACCTTTTTTAAAAAAAAAGGAGAACAGGAAAGTAAAACAGGTCCTATCTGGGGGTTGGTACCAGTGGGAACAGGGAACAGGGAGGATATAAGGAAAGTGTGTCAGAAGCTGAATGTAGTGGCAATATTATTTACTCATATATGAAAATGGAAAAATGAGACATGTTGAGACTATTCTAGGAAAGGCGGAAGAGGGATAAAGGAGGATGATGGAGGGGGTGAATTCAAATATGATGTATTGTAAGAACTTTTGTAAATGTTACAGTGTACCCCCAGTACAACAATAACATAATAACAAAGTAAAAAATAAAAATAAAATATTTTACAGAATTCATAATTGAATATATCCTGATTTTGAGTTTTTTTGTTCCAAGTCTTTTCATACTTCTGTATTTCTTCATTGTTAGAAGTTGATTTCTTTTATAGAATTTTTTCATTTTTATCAAGACTGTCTTCTTTGTGTCTTCTTTGGCACCAAGCTATCCTTTTGATGTCAAGTGATATAAATTACTGCCCAATTTTATATTAATCTTCCTTGCCACTCACCCATTTGTGGATATGGAATAGAGTGTTACCCTAAAAAATCAAGGCTGTAAAATGATTGTCTTATTTGATAGAGATTTGGGGAGAATATAGGTGAGATACTTCTTTCACAGTTGTGGCCTGGAAATCATTTTGAAATTAGTTCTGTACAATATGCTAATTTAACACATTAGCAAAAATCTTCATACTTACTCTTGTTTTGGGACCTTTGTAATGTTGTAACCGCATCTGAACATGAAAGAGTTGTCACTGTTGCTTTTGTAGTGATGAGCTCATTGGTTGTGACATCATGGGTTGTGTTTTCTAGTTATGTGAAAAAAATGAGCAACCATCAGTAAAACAACAAATCACTAACTAGTCTTATAAATATTCATATTGATATTCAGTTATGACTTGAAGATTCATTTGAATGTCTCCTGACAAAGATTTAAAAACACAGCATTTTACTGTCCACTTTTTGGTGATCCAGGTAATTTTAAAGAAAGTGGAATGGCTTTAGATTTTCCTATAGGTGCTTACTATAGCACCAATGATTTGATCATACTGAGTTAAGTAATTACTATGAATTGATTACCATGATCATCATTTTAAGTAAGACTCTCAGAAGTTTATTTCCCTATAGTTGCATAATTTGTAATGGGAGAGACCCACGTTTTGAGTCAAACCTGTTCTAATGTAAAAGTTAATCAGTCATGCTGGAAAGGGATGGTAAGGAAAGGAAATGGCAGTAGTAAAAATAGCTCCATGGTTCTTATGCTGCCTATGAGAGAATTTCCAGTATATAGAATAGCAAGAGAAGGGATAATAGAAAGCATATAGAATATGCTTTTAACTATATTTAGTTAAGTTTTTGAAGAAAAAATGAAAATTAATAAGAAAGCTTTCCAAAAACTTGGAACATTGGAATACATTGGAATAAAATGACTTGAAACAATTCATATTTGCATAAATATTATAAAAATGATTGATGCACTCCTGCATTTCTAAAACTGGTAGAGGAACATTGGGATAGTGAGAAAAGACAGAAATGCCAGTGCACAGTTGGTGTTAACTAAATATGATGGCTGTCGGAGCTAGGAGGAAAAGCGATTTAGTAGATTCCTGTCACAGAGTAGCATAGAGTATGAATTTCTGATGCCTTCCAGAAGTGCCAATTTCCAATCTATGGCAATAGTCATCTACTGTATAATAAATTCTTACTGTCACTGAGGAATTAGGGCTGGAAAAAAACTGATTGTTTGAAAGACCTCATAAGGAATAGGTAAATATGTCCCAAGGTAAAAACATTTTAAGATTTAGTATGCAAACAAAACTAAAATAAATTTAAATGTAAAGTACAGATACATCTTGAAATATAAAATTAGGAGAGGAATATTTGAGAAACTCGTAATGGATCATATTATAGCAGAGAGCAGAAATGTTCATAATAGCATGGAAATGAAAAAGGCACTCTAGGGGCAAATATAATACATGTAAACAAAGAACTTGCTTCCTACTGAAACCCCAATACAGGCTTGAGAAACATTAGAATAGGAGCTCTTTTTCAGAAATCTTTAAATTATTCTTCAGCTGAAATAAAACTAGGAATATTAAGAAAGCTATTCTATGGCTAAAGAATTCCATAGCACAAGACAGGGTGATGTCTCTTTCCATACCGTGTCTGGGTCAGTGGTATACACTGACTGGTCAAAAGGCAAGGGCTTTGGTCCCTCACCACTTCTGGGACTGCAGGGCCAGTGGTCTTTGCTAGTAGCTTGGTTATCATCAATGGTGCCTGAGGAAACTTCCATCACCTGATAGGGGTCACCTCCATTGTATGAGTAGCCACACAGTGAGCTCCTCTCACCCACGCTTTCTGCACCATGCCTGCCTGAACAGAAGCAGTGGCTCTCTCTGACTCTGTCATGACTTTGGACATTCCTTTCCAAAGTCATTAATTACTGTCAAAGATGCTATTGAGAGACTACAGTATGGTGCCCAGCCAGAAACAAAATCAACATTGCATTACAAACTCACACCACAACATACAGCTTCAGGAAGAAGCTACTTACTAAGATGGTCAACCAATAAAAGTGATAAAGATAACTTTTTCCCTAGACATGCAAACATCAATGTAAGAATGTAAAAAATATGAAAAACAAGGTAATAGGATGCCTCTAAAAAACATCTCTTTATAACAGATACCAAAGAAATCAATTTGGATGAAATGCCTGATAAGATTTAAAGAAGTGATTATAAAAAGCCCAATGTGATCTGAAAGGATACAGATAAACAATTAAATGAAGACAAGAGTATGGTAACCAGCAAGACTGCCCTTCAGAAGTGAGAAGAAAATAAAGACCTTCCACAATAAGCAAAAATTGAGGGAATTCATGACACCAGACCAGTCTTACAAAAGATGCTTAAAGAATCCCTCTATCCAGAAATGAAAGATAACTATCATCATAAAAGCGTAAATCCTACTAGAAAAGTATATGTAAAGAGTTATAGAAAAGAATCAAATATCATCAATGTAGTAAACCATGACACCAGAAAGATGAACAAGAGATGAAGAAAGAACATAGAATATTTAAAACTACTAGAAGAATATAAACACATGGCAAGCATAAGTCCATACTTTTCAATAATAACCTTGAATGTAAATGGGTTAAATTCTCAAGTAAAAGATACAGACTGGCTGAATGGATTAAAAACAAGACCCAGCAATATTGTGCCTACAAGAAACTCATTTCACTGTAAACATATACGCAGACTAAAAAATCAATGGATAAGAAATGATAGTCCAAGCAAATGGAAATCTAATGATGCAGGACTAGCTATACTTATATCTGACAAAATAGACTTAAGACAAATACAAAGCCAGGCACCAGTGGCTTATACTTGTAACTCCAGCTATTTGGGAGACTGAGTTCAGGAGGATTGTGGTTTGAGGGCAGCCTTGGTATAAAGATCATGAGACCCTGTCTTGACCAATAGTTGGGCATGGTGACACATGCCTATCATCCCAAGCTGTGTGGGAGGCTAAGATCAGAAGGATTATTGTTCCAGGCCAGCCCTGGTTAAAAAAAAAAGTTTGTGAGACACCATCTCAATGGAAAACAGTTGGGCATAGTAGTGTGCACTTGTCATCCCAGTGATGGCAGGTAGCATAAAACAGGCATATTGCAGTCTAGGCTTGTCTGGGCAAAAAGCAAGTCCCTATCTTAAAAAATAACTAGAACAAAAAGGACTGTAGGAATGACTCACATGGTACTGTGCTTGCCTAGCATGCATGAAGCCCTGAGTTCAAATCCCAGCACTGACAAAAAAAGGACAAATACTGTAAGAAGAGACAAACATAAAATGATTGTAAATCTATAACATCTAATGTTGGAATGCCTGACTTTATAAAACAAAGTAATAGAGATAGAGGAGAAATAGAATCCAAAATAATAATAGTGGGGGATTTTTACACACTACTTTCTCTAATGGACCTATCATCCAGACAAAAACTAGCAAATAGATAAACTATTCTAGATCAAATGGATATAAGAGACATTTATAGACCATTCTATCCAACTACTACAGAAAACACATTCTTTTCAGCAACATATAGAAATTTCTCTAGAATAGACCATATATTAGATCACAAAACTGGTCTTAACAAAATTGAAATCATATAAGGCATCTTTTCTGATCACAATAGAATAGAATCAGAAGTCAACAACAAAAGAAATTTTAGAAATTATACAAATGCATAAAGAATGAAAAACATGCTTTTGAACAAACAGGGTATCATTGAAGAAGTCAGATAGAAGTTTAAAAATTTCTCAGATGAAAATGAAAACACAACATCTCAAAACCTGTGTGATTCAGCAACAGCAGAGGGAAGGTTTTAGCAGTAAGTACTTACATCAAAAACATAGAAATGTTTCAAATAAACAGCTTAATGATGCATCTCAAGGACTTAGAACAGCAAGAATAAAACAAACTCAAATTAGTAGAAGAAAAAAAAAGAATAGAGCAGAAATAGAGACTAAAAATTAATGCAAAAGATGAATGAAATAAATAGTTGATTTCTTGCAAAGATAAACAAAATTTACAAACCATTAGCTAGACTAACAAAGTAAAAATAGAGAATATTCAAACACAAAAAATTAGCAATGAAAAAGTAACCATTACAACCAATACCACAGAAATACAAGAGAACATTAAGAATTATGAAAAATTACATGCTAACAAATTGGAAAACCTAAAATAAACAGGCAAATTGTTGGACACATATGATCTACCAAATTTGAATCATGAGAATATAAACAAACCTGAACAGACCAGTAACAAGTAATAGACAAGTCTGTAACAGAAAGTTTCCCAACAAAGAAAAGTTCAATGGATTTATTGTTGTATTTTACCAGATTTTTTTTTTAACCAGGGCTTGAACTCAGGGCCTACACCATGAGCAACTCAACCACAGTCCCCCATTTTTTGTGATGGATTTTTTTCAAGATAGGGTCTCATGAACTATTTGCCCAGGCTGGCTTCAAACCGTGATTCTCTTGATCTCTGCCTCCTAAGTAACTAGGATTACAGGCATGTACCTTTAGTGGATGCTTTTACCAGACTTTTAAAGAGAACTAATACTAATTTTCCTCAAACTTTTACAAAGAATCATTCTATGAGGCCAGTATTACCCCATTTCCAAAAACAGACATGGACCCAAGAGGTATAAAAAAAACCTATAGAACAATAGTCATGATCCTCATTGGTGAGAAATTCTCAACAAAATGCTAACAAATCAAATCAAAAAGATCACACACATAATCACTTTGGTTTCATCCTAGGGATGAAGGATGGTTCAATCTATGCAAATCAATAAATGTAATCACATCAACAAAATGAAATATAAAATTCATATGACCATCCCAATAGATGCAGAATAATATTTGTTAAAATCAAAATACCTTCATGATAAATGTCCTGAACAAATTAGGTATAGAAGGATCATAACTCAATATGTCAGGGTAATCTGACAAATGCAATACTAAATGGGGAAGTGATGAAAGTATTTCCTTTAAGATCAGTAACAAGACAAAGTGTCAATTCTCACAGATTTTACTCAATATAGTATTAGAAATATCAGCTATAACAATTATGCAAGAAAAGAAATAAAAGACCTACAAATAGGAAGGGATAAAGTCAAATTAGACTTCTTCACAGATTATATGATTTTATATATAGAAAAACCTGAATATTAACCCCAAACTATTAGACCTGGTAAAGAAAATTAGTAAAGTAGCAGAATACAAAATCAACAAGAATCATAG